GGGCTGGGGCCTCCAGAAGAGAAGCACACACACACACACACACACACACTGTCCGTGAGAGACGCCTGGACTCCGGTTTCCCCATCTTTGCCCTCCTCTCTCTCCTGCCATCAGGCTGGGCTCCCCTGTTCCTTGTCTGCCCTGAGCACGACCACTGACAGAGGGGCTGGGCCCGGGCGCCCCCAGGCTGCGCTCACCTGGGCCGGGGCCGCCCCACCTGAACGCGGGGTCCTGCCTCTCTGGTTCCCAGCGCTGGGCATCCCAGGACGAGGCCTGGCCTGTCGTCACGTCCCTTCTCTGCCCTCTGAGGACTGTCCTTCAATCATGACTGACCAGCCCGGCCCGGGCGCCAAGCGGGGAACGCGGGGAGACACACACCAGGCAGGTGAAGAGCTCTCTGTTCCCGGGGTCATGTCGGAGACGGGCAGTCCTCCCTGGCTGAGTGCCATTTCTTCTCCACCAAGGCTTGGTCGCCAGCGAAGTGGGCGGAGCTTGCAAGTCCAAGTGGATCCTGGGCCCCGAGATCAGACTCCCATCTCAGTTGAGGGGAAAGGGGGACCGAGCGACTGATGTGGAAACTCACAATGCTCTGCCTCCCAGGAGTGTGGAAGGTTCTAGAAAGGCCGGTGGGCTGGGACGCTTGCCTTGCCTTTAGGCTAAGAGTATAGCACTTGGGGGACACAGGAAGCCCCCAAAGGACATTGGCCGAGTTGAACTGGATTGAGGCGGGTGCGTGAGCCCCTGCGGTCCTGCAGACAGGGCAGGCGGGGTGGGGATGTGGGACATGCCCGGCTCACCCAGCTGCTGCCTGCGAGCTCCCCGGGCCAGCCCGCCCAGCCTTCACGGGGATATTTAACCGCGAAACTGCTGAAAAGAACCCGCCACACATGGAAAGCTTTTATTTTTCACAAAGAAATCTCATTACGCTTGGACCGTCGGGCCGCGTCCCCCTAATGCTCTGGGTGCTGAGCAGCGGCACCTTCTGAAATCCGCGCCGTGTGGTCTCCTGGTGTCGGCTCTCCGATGCCCGGAATTCTCCCAGAGTTTGCCGTGTTAGGAA